ATGTGAGAGGTAATAACTTTTTACCAGCACTTAATCTTCGCTCTCCTTTATTTCTGGCTTTTGCTCCATTCCTCTATGTGCCTTTCCACCGAACTGCCACAAGCAACTATTCCCCTTTCTCACTCCACTCATACAACTGGACCACCTCCCCTTCCAATCCATCACTTGATCTCCTTTACTAACTTCCACACTTCGATTCACAACTTATTTAGACTTCGAATGATGCACAACATTCAGTGTGTTTGGTTTGAATTTTTTGGATTAAATTTTTTAAAAATTAAGTTTTTTAATTTTCATATTTTTTTTATTTTTTGTGAATATTTTTAAAATTTTAATCATTTTTTTTATTTTTTTAGATGCACCTTACTTAGATGTATCTAAAAAGTAAAAAATTTGTGAAAAAATATTTTTAAAAAATTAATAAATACATAAAAATACAAAATATGTACCGAATTCTTGTATTTTTTTTTTGTATTTTTGGAATTTAGTAAATTTTTAAAATGTTTCTTTCACATATTTTTTACTTTTTAAGTATATTTATGTTAGGTATGTCTAAAAAGTAAAAAAATTGCTTAAAATATTTAAAAAATTCGGTAAAAACAAAAAAACACGAAAAACAAGAAAGTATAATTTTCTGAAAAAAGTTTTTAAAAAACTCTAACCAAACATGCTGATTGGAATTTATCATTTTCATACCGCCGGTATAAAATTGGTTCTTAGTATTGGGTAGGTCATGGAGTATGACAATTTTGAGATTAGGCTGGGTTGGATTTTATGAACCACAGTGAAAAATTTGTCCATTGACCACGAGGAGAATTGATAATTGGACTAAAATACAAAACTAACAAAATAGTTTGTACACTAAAATAAGAGAAACTTTTATTTAAGGATTAAAGTGAAAAATAGCCCACATATCTGTGGGGACTAAACCAGACCAAAGGCCTAAGCCCTGGAAACAAACAAGTGTATTAAAACCATAGGCCCAACGAGATCTCAACTCGAGTCCAATGCTTTCTCAACCAGGTTTATTTGAATAACACTATTACAAATAATTTGAATGAATTTAAAGGTGAGTTATTGGAAATGGATTATATAAGCTGTATTTGAATTATAAATTTAGATAAAATTAAAAAAGTGAATAAAATTTAAATAAAACATAAATCAATTGTTTTTTCGTTTATTTTATTTTCAAAATTTGTATCCAAATTTATAATTTAAATTTTGCCTGGGTTCAAAATGATTGTTGGAGTATGGGGCCTCCAAAGCTTTTGCTACGAATCCATTTCTGTGAGGACTTTATGAGACTCTTCATCTCGTGCAAGTTTATTTGTTTGTTATGAATCATGAAATTACTCAAATTTTGAAAGGGGAATTACACATAGTGGTGAGCCAAAAAAACTATTTATAAAACTATGATGAATATTATAAATACGAATACTTAAAATTATAACTTATTTTTTTGTAAATATTTTTTCTATTTCCACTTATCCGTAATTTCTCCAATTTTTAAAGTAAAATTTTAACACGAGTCATATTGTTTAAAATAATTAGCATTTTTCACTATCCAAATTCTGAGAAAATATACAAGTTTAGGCATGGTTTTGGAAGTGGGTTAATTTTTTTTATTTTTTTGACTATTTTAGTCGGGATTAAAAAGTCTCATTTGGGATAATTTTTTTTTGAATTTTTTAAAATTTTGTGAGAAAAAAATAAAATTATTATAATTTAAATATAATATTTTGTGTTAACTTTTTAATTTATTTTATTTTTTTATCACTATTTTAACCCCAGTCTCATATGTCAAAACCTAACGTTAGTGGACAGGTTAATCTTTTTGAACAGAAAAAAAAAGAAAGAAAGATCTTTGACAGTTGAATTGGAGTAATGTTTTATTATTATTATTATTATTATGGGAGGCATAGAGTAAGTTTATTAATGGTTTATTTGGAAATTAATTTTTTTTTTTGATTATTTTTTATATTTTACAAAAGACGTAAAAAAAATTAGGATTAATTATCTAAAAGTCATATTTACAAATGTTATGATAGCTTAGGTCTTATTTAAAAATTTTAAAACTAATAAGTCATATATTATTAGTTTTTCTCAAATTTCAAAATTAAGAATATTATCAATTTTGTATAGAAATTTTCCAAATAATTATTTTACTAACTGATGAAAAAAATAGAGCATGAGATTAAACGTTGTCCTTCTACTTATTGATTTGATTCAGCTATCCAATAAAATCGAGAACATTAATCCCTTTTTTTCAGTTTTAAAATTGAAAATATTAAAAAAAAATTATTTTTAAAGTTTTATTTTATTTTATTTTCAGTTTTGCACATCAATATTCCATCATTATGCTCTTTTATATACACAATTTTTAGTTTTGTACAAAAAATAATTCAATATTCTCAAAATTTTCATTTTTTTTTTGCACATAATTTTTTTTTCTTTTTTTAATTTGAAAGTTAATATTTTAAAGTTTTGAAAATCAAAATAAATATCAGATCATCATCTTTCTTTATAGATAATCATAAATGATGAACAATTATTGTTTTAAGAATAATTCCGACAATTAAAAATTTAATGAGAGTTGAAGGTCTAAAAAATCTTAGTTAAAATTTAATAAAATATAAGTTCATAAATTAGAATTTGTATGTAAATGTCCCAAAAAATTATAGAGAGAATGAGACGAATTTAAATCCCTTCAAAGAAATGCATTATATTCGAACATAAGTGAAATTTATCTAGGGTGAGGTCAGGCTTCTCTTCAGTTTTGAGATCGGACTAGAGTGTATTGTTGAGCTTGTGGGGGCTCACCACTAATTCTGTTTTGCTAATATGACCCGTTTAATGTGTAGAATTTGTTGAATAGTTTATCCCTACCAAAAATCATATTGATCAGATATCAATAGTCACTTGATCGAATAATCATGTTGTTCAAGTAGCTATTGATATTTGATCAACATAATTTTTTACAGGAATAAAAAATTTAATAAGTTCTACAAATTGACTAATTCAAATTATTAAAATAAAAATTTGTGATGAACCCCCATCAACTTGAAGAGCACCGTTCAATCAGCAAGAAAAAATAGGAAGAATATAATACTAATTTTTTGACTAAATCTTAATATATTTTTTTGACCATCTTAAAATAAGTAAAAAAATCAGCATCATTCACAAAATCGCAACACTAGAATTCTAATAATTTAATATGTTAAAAGGCATCTTCAATAAAAATATATATACCTTTTTAATTATTTATGTGGTGGTAATAAATTAAAAAAATAGATAAATTACATTAGTCTCTTTTAGATTTAAAATATATAATGAGTTATATGATTTTGATATAATTATATTGATTTTTTTTGTGTGTGTATTTTTAATAATATTACACTTGGTTTTATTTTCATCAATAATTTATTTGTTATATAAATAAAAAAATGATATTGTTATATCTATTACACGAAAACATATATTTTACATTGTTTATTTTTGTATTTTCACACTATCTGAATTAGTTTCGATTCATTTAATCTTACTAAAAGAGAGGTCAGTATAATTATATCAAAACTATGAATTTATTGTATTGTTTTCAAACTTCATGGTAGTTTAGTGTAATTTACCCTTAAAGAAAAAGTTAAATTATAAATGCACACCAGAATTTTATTTAAAATACAGATTAACCCATATAGTTCTATAAATTACATATACTTCATTATTAGAATTTTTTATGTAATAGAATTAACAAAAAAAATAAAATTCCTAATTATTCTCCTATACAACAATAAAATTATCTAAATTATTAATTAAAATATATTTATGATATCATTTAATTAAATTCGTGATTGATTATAATTTGCCATGTGATTAAAAATTGAAAAATTTATCCGTAAATCGCATATGAGGGAATATTGATCCATTTAGTTCTAAAAGTTTTTTTATGAATAAATTAGTGAATGCATTTTTTTGATTTTGTGCCATTTTTTAGTTTAAGTGAATGGCTTTTTGTGATTAATTTTTAAAATTTTTTTAATTTGTTTTTAGGATGAAAATATAAAAGTGAGGTATGAAAGATTTTTTTGGGGGAATCGATAGCTGAAGTGTTGGTTGTTGAGCGTGAAAATCTATATTTTTGTTAATGTGATTTTTTGGTGTTACATAGTGTCATATTATAGTGTTACGTTTGAAAAAAATACAGTAAAGAAATTTTGTGTTACATTGATTGGAGTGTTGCGTTTGAGAAAAGTACGTAATTTTTTTTTTGTTGAAATATTACGTTATTATGTTTGAGAAATGTACACTAATTTTTTTTAATGTGCTACATTAGAATGTTACGTTTGAAAAAAAAATACACTAAATTTTTTTTGCCTGTTACATTGATTGGAGGGTTTTGTTTGGGAAAAATAGAATGATGAGTTTTTTTTGAAATGTTATGTTGTTACGTTTGGAAAAAGCATAATAAAGAATTTTTATGTATTACGTTTAGGAAAGTATACTAAGAATTTTTTTTAGAAATAACGTTGTTACGTTTGAAAAAAATACATTAAACAATTTTTTTAGTGTATTATATTGAAGTGTTACATTGGAATATTACGTTTGGAAAAAATATACTAAATGATTTATTTAAAGTGTTACGTATAATAATTTTAGCATTATAAAAAAATCACATTTGTTTCTTAATACATAATATGTGCGTTTATACTTGACCATTTATATAATTTACACTAAAATAGAAAATTTAGGTCAAAAAAAAAAAAACAGAAAAAAGAAAGAAAGGAGGTCATGAAATCGCTATTTAAAATTCATTGATGTTTCACCCTCAAAAATTTAAAAAGGGGAAATGTAATTTTAAATTTTAAGAATGCATTTATAAAAAAATAAAAAATAAAAAATCATGGGCTTGTCTTCTACTACCCGTAATTATCGTTCATTTCCGATGTACCAAAAAAAAAATTATCGTTAAATATCTGTAATAACACAATAAAGTGGGTTTTGAGAGTACTCTTCCACGCAATGGGGCCACCACTCACGGCCTCTACTCCGCCTTCCTCCTCCGTCTGGACCACTTTCACTCTCTCTCTCTCTCTCTCTCTCTCTACATTTGGCCCCAAATTGGTTCTTCGGAGCAACTTTTCGATTTTTGTTCACTGGCCTTTCCTAATTCTCCTTTAAATTTAGCTTAATTATCCAATTTGTCGTCATTTTTAGGAATTGATCGATATATATAAAGAGAGAGCTACGATTATAGTATGGCTATGGAGGAAGAGAGCGCAGAGCAGCTGTTGAAGAAGCTGATCGACATTGTCAACGAGATCTCTTCCATCTCCGGCTTCAGGTGTGTGGTTAGGAGGCAATGTCGCGATCTTTCGAGGCGGTTGAAGCTCTTGATGCCCTTATTCGAGGAGATCAGAGACCAAATCTCCCAAGAGACTCTGAACGATTTGATTTCGTTGAAAGAAGCTCTCGAATCGGCTAAAGAATTGCTCGGAATCTGCAGCCGCGGCAGCAACATCTTGCTGGTTCGCAATTTTATGCTTCAATTGTTTATTGTTCAATTGCAACTGAATATGGAATTATGTGGTTTTTTTTTTGTTGTTTTTGTTTTTGTGTGTGATCAATTTGTGTTTAACGAGGGACTTGGCATGAATAATGGGTTTCATTTAATTGGGAAGTGAATAATCAAATCCCAAGAAGGGGTTTTGAGAGGGGTGAGCATATATATATATATGTATATATAGTTTAAATAACCCGGAGTCTGGGTCAGCTGACACACACTTCGAGTAATACCGGTCCTGAAGTTAACTGCCGGCAAACCAAGAGGTGAGGCATAGTTATTACACATATTTCTGAAACCTAGCTTTGTGCTTGTTGCCACACCTAAAACAATTACTTTAAATGCTAGGATACTAAACTTTTAACCAAACAAATGACCAAATGTGTGTGTGGGTCCGCAATTATGTGGACCCTACACTCATATGAGACAATTAGTCATTTGTTTGGTAGAAAATTTGGGACTTAGCACATTTTCCTGACTTTAATTCTCAAACTTTGGGCTTTGGAGTCTACTTGCTTACTGGAATCTATTTACTTTGCTAAGAGTAACTTCAATGGTTGGACAGGGAGAGAGCTAGTTATTGCTATAATTTCTTGGCTATAATTTTGCTAGGGCTGCAATCGAAACCAGCTGAGCCGAGCTTTAGTATGTTTGAACTTATTTATTAAGATTTTAATAAGTTCGAGCTCGAGCTCAATAAAAATTTAATGAACTGGACTTGAGCCGAGTTGGCCTAGGCTTGACTCGAGTTCGAGTCTGTTTACAAACTTTAGCAAGCAAAAAAATTTATAAATTCATACTTGCGTATAAGACTAAAGTTATAATTAGAATTTTAATTATATAATTATATATACAAAATATATAAAAATACTAAAAACAAGTTAATATTTGATCACCTACTACCACTTTTATATAAATGTACAGTTAACTATTATTTACATTTATATTTTTTAAATATATAAATAACATATATTTTTATATTATTTAATATATAAATAATAAATGTTGAACGAGTCAGCTAACGAGCTGAGTTTTAGTATGTTTGGACTTGTTTATTAAAAATTTAATGAGCTCGAGTTTGAATGCAAAAAAATGTAATAAACCGAGTTCGAACGAGTTTTTACCGAGCCGAGTTTGAGTCTGTTCACGAACGGTTTTGTTCATTTGTAGCCCTAAATTTAGCAATGAATGTGTTAAAATGTTTGATTTTAGCAATCTTGCTCCAATGGTATAATGTAAAAATTTTCAACTTTTCTCATTAAATCAAAACGCTACATGTGGGTCCCTAGAGGAGAGATATAGACACAGTTTTTAGCTTTAGGTAAACCTTGTGCTATATTTAACACAATGTTTACCTATAGGTAATATATAGCAAGCCAAGTTACTTACTATTGGAGTGGGAATTTGGAAGCTTCAAGGCAAAATATAACAATAGCATGCCATAGAGTACGCCCATTGGAGATGCTTAGTGCTATTCTATTGCTAGTTGAAAACCAATGCTTGCTTACTATAATCTTGCGTTTAGCCATCATGTTTGAAAACAAATGCTTGCTGAATTTTGTGCAGTAATCTCTTACATTTAGCTATTTTTCTAAGCTTGCAAAACTAGTATGCCTTTACGTGTGACTGAACTTGAATGCGCTTTTGCGTGTTTCCCGTTTTTCATTTTGTTCAGTGAATAGGAACTAACATATGTGGAACCAGCATTGAATGGAGAATTTAACTGATAAGCTTTAAACAGGAAAAACTTGGGCCAATCAGGGGAATAACACCAAACAAAGGAGAAAATTTGAATCATAAAGATATATATAGTTTTCAACCAGCCAAATTTATGAATTTTTTGTTGCATATGAAACTACCTTAATCAACTACAACATTTTGACTTTGAAAGACACCAATTTTGCTAAGCAGATTTGGTGTCCAACATTTTGCCATAACTATCAAATCAAAGCTCTCTCTTTCAATTCCAAAAGTGGTGTCATTTGTCTTATGTAATGCTTTTCAAATGCAAGTTCATTTGTATGTTTCTTTCTGCTGTTTTTTTTAGCGGATCAAGGACTTATTTTTTATTTTTAGAAAAAAGAGCAAGGAATGGAATGAGATATGCTGGTTCATTCAAAATATCAGTCTCGTTCTTCCTCTAAACTGATGTCATTCCTTTATTTTCTGTGGGTGTTAAAAGCAGCCAAAAGTTTCATAACCAAAATTGAGAGTGAGAGCAACTTACCCAAATCAAACCAAACCAAACCAAACCAAACCAAACCAAGTCTTGTGTCCTGACCCAATCAGTTAGGGTCGGCCACACAAATCACTTTTTTCCATTCCACTTAGCCAAGGGCTCACACTGGCAGAGCTAATAAGAGTGACTGGAATAACTGAAAGTAAAAAAATGAGGATGAGTAGTGGCCCTGCTTGTTTTTTAAGGTACATCAGAATTTAGTGGCCCTGCTTGTTTTTTAAGGTACATCAGAATTTAGTGGCCCTGCACTACCTTACTGTGTTTAATACCCGTGTCACATGGATTCTTTATTTCTCCCAAAGTATGGGTAAGTGTGTAAAATAAGTACTTGACATCTGTAAACAATTTAGACACTTTGATATTCAAATTTTTTACGTTGGTTGAAGTAGATACTCGCATTTGCTAATAAAAAAACATTTCTAGCCTCTCACATGGATGATAAATAATTTTTTTTCCTAATTTTATTTAATTTCAAGTACATTTATACATACTTTACATCTAATCTAAGAAAATTATACAATTTCTAATATATATAAATATCCATGGCACGTCCCCTTACCAATATCCAGCTTTTGAATACATATCCTAATATGGTTTTACGCTTGGATACACTCACACCCAATACTTGTACTTGAGTTCATGTAACATAGTTTAAACCCTGTTTGATTTTGCATATGGTTTTGTTGGGAAACATCTCTCTGCACATTAATGCATACAGGTGAATTTGCATGAATGCTGGAATAAAGACCACCGGTTCTACATATTACAAGTTTTGTCCTGGTCTTATGTTGTGGCAATTTTGGAGCCAACTTCTTTTTATGTTCTTTCAGGTATTGCAATCAGAGAAAATAAGGAGTAAATTCAAAGAACTGGCTGTTCAATTTGAACAAGCTCTAAGATTTGTTTCCTATGACAAGCTTGACATTCCAGATGAACTTAAGGAACAGGTGATCATCCATTATGGAAGTTTGTGGTTTGTGAATTTGTAATACTTATGACGGACCCCACAACCTAGATTTCCATCAGTATATGAGCTTGTTTTATTTTTATTTTTTTTATTTCCTTTACTAGACTCGGACCTAAGACTTATCCAACCCAATCCCACGCTTTCATTACCCTTCGCTGACGCCCTGGGGCAACCATATGCAACTTACATATGCCGCAAAAAATTAGAAATAGTCTCATCTTTGACTTTTTATATGTTGGCAAACCCCACAAAAAACTAGTTTTAATTATTCTATTTGTTTGCTATGAAGGACTAGAAGAATTTTTGGATTCCTATTTTTTACCTGCCCCATCCTCTCCCCTTGAGCAAGGAATCTGTGGGGACCTAGAAAATTATCTTCCTGTGTATTTTTGATTCATTCTCTTTCTTTCTTTTTAGTCGTTCACTTTTCTTGTTGTTACCAGGTTGAACTTGTTCATTCTCAATTTGCAAAAGCCAAAGAAAGAATTGAAGAGCCTGATTTGCAGCTGTATGAGCATCTGTTCTCCATTTACAACCAGAGCAGTGATGCGGATATTGAACCAGGTCTCACAAGGACATTGTGTGAAAAGCTAGAACTAATGACCATTGAACAACTTAAAGAAGAATCACTTGCTTTAGATGAGATGGTTATGTCCTGTGGTTGGGATGTGGTTCAAACCAGAGAGAAGATGTTGATGGTAATGAAAAAATTTGAAGACTGCGTGAGGGCCGAACATCCCAACATCAGTATTCCTGTGTGTGAGAATTGGTCTGGTAGTGATCAAACACACACCATCCAAAGCCCCAAATCGCCATTTGTGCCAGATGATTTCCGTTGCCCAATATCACTAGAATTAATGAAAGATCCTGTCATTATATGCACAGGGCAGGTACGTGCGTCTATTACTTAAAACAAGCCAAAGCTTTTTTTACTTTTATTTGCCTTTAAGTTTTCATTGGATTAATCATTAAGGTTTCCCCCCCTTATATACTAGTATATTTATAATAGGTATGAGGGGCTGTATGTTGGTTAGGCCCTACCCAGGAAATTTATGACGTAATACTTAAACCTAGTATATGCTCATATCTGGCACCTTTGCCTTCCTTTTAAGAGATTTTTATTCGGCGAATGTCTCCAAAAGAGCGAATTTTTGTTCCGACAAATTCCTTACAAGTCCTCTTTCGTTTGGTAGACCTATGAACGAGCTTGTATAAAGAAATGGCTTGAAGCAGGACATGGAACTTGTCCAAAAACGCAGCAGAAACTTTTTAGCACCACCCTCACACACAACTATGTGTTATCTAGCATAATAACTCGTTGGTGTGAAGACAATGGGGTGGAACCACCCACAAGATTGGGCAATTCTCGGCTAGGTAAGACCTCTGCCTGCTCCATTGAAGGTGTGGACATTGATGCTCTCTTAAGCAAGCTCACATCTGGCAACATTGAAGACCAGAGGGCTGCTGCAGGTTTGCATTATGATAAAGATCTCTTTATGCTGAAAATATCATAGATTGAAATAAAGAATCTTCTATAGAGCATCAAAAGAGTATTTTTGTGTTTGATTTTTAGAATATGAGCAAAGTTAAATTCTGAAAGTAACCAATATTTTTTTTTGGCTTTCTTTTCCACTAGACAAAGTTTAACAATTAATTTTAAAAAAAAAAATTTTTTGTTGCTTTTTTGAAGATGTTTATACAGTTTTACTTCATCTGATACAAATAGATGGAAATTTGTATTGGAAATTTTCTTTATATTGGAAATTTTGCATTCGTAGGATTTTCCAAAGCAGAGATTTCTCAGGTTCTTGGTGGAACCTCATAAAATTCTGAACCATGTGAATTAATTCATTGTAGGTGAGCTGCGCCTTCTAGCCAAGAACAATGGCAATAATCGCATGTTCATAGCCCAGGCCGGTGCAATCCCCCTCCTTGTTGGCCTCCTCTCCACGCCCGACACTACCACCCAAGAACATGTCATTACCTCTCTCCTCAACTTGTCTATTTGTGAGGATAACAAAAGAGGCATCGTATCTTCTGAGGCTGTTCCTGGAATCCTTCATGTCCTGAAACACGGTAGTATGGAAGCACGAGAAAATGCGGCAGCCACTATATTCAGCTTGACAGTATTGGATGAATTCAAGGTGACAATTGGCTCTTCGGGAGCAATCCCAACATTAGTAACATTGCTGAAAGAAGGTAGTCCGAGAGGGAAGAAGGATGCAGCAGCGGCGCTTTTTAACTTGTGCATATTCCAAGGGAACAAAGTACGGGCGATAAGGGCTGGTTTAGTACCGTTGCTCATGACACTGCTGATCGAACCTGGCAGTGAAATGGTGGAAGAGGCATTGGCGATCGTTGCGATGCTAGCTAGCCATTCTGAGGGGAAAGGAGCGATTGGAAGTTTCAAGGCCGTGCCGCTTTTTGTGGATCTGGTTCGAAATGGATCTCCGAAGAGCAAAGAGAATGCTACGGCAGTGCTGGTGCATCTTTGTGCCGGTGATCAACAGTACCTTTCAGAGGCTCGAACCCTTGGCGTGGTTGATCCGCTGCTGGACTTGGCAGAGAACGGCACGGATAGGTGTAAGCGGAAGGCTGCACAGTTGCTCCAGCTTCTATTGGACCCCACGGAGCCTGTTGGTGAAGCTCAGGTGCAAACTGGTGGACCGTCTGATACCCAAACTCGGTCCATACTGTTGCCAGTAACAGCCGGTGTTGATGATAGCTAAGGACCTGTTTGGCTTCTCATGGGTTTTGTTCGATTAGCCTTTTGGGAAGCGACTATTGTTTGGTATATACATATATATATATATATATATAGTCTAGTATGAATCTATTTTGTGGGATTTGTAGAGGGAGAAATAGAAAAGAGTTGTTTGAAGAGAGGAAGAAAATTATTGAAACAGAGTGGTCATTTTGTGCTGGCCCTCAATTTTTATTGGCAATATATATATATATAGATATATATATAGTTGTGAAGGAATCAGAATATGATGTTATAAAGAAGGAAAGTAATTGGGAATATAATTCTTGCCACAGACCATTTACTCTTGGGTGTTCATCTCTCAATTGTTTGTCAATTTGTTCCAGGGTTTAGCTTGTAATAAGAAATGGAGGAACTAGGTTATTTTCATTTTTCTTCTCCCTTTCAATCTGTAGGGATTACATCAAAATGGATTTTGAATTATGAAAGAAAATGTAAATGTAGGTAAAGAGTCAAACTCCGACCTCAGCAAAATACACGAGATTACATGAAATTTTGATTTTTGGTTAGTTTTTGGTAACGTATGTTATGATTTTTTACATCAATACAGATTGAATCGATCAAAATATTATATTTAAATGATTTTTTATATTTTATTTCTTTAAGTATCAGAAGATAAGTAATTAATGTATCACATTTCGTAATAAAAATTAAGAAGGAAAACATTTATAGAATAATTTGTAGCATTTTTTTTATGAAAAATGTTTGAGGGCCCTAATTCTGTGGCTCAAATGTGGCTCAAATGGCCAAAACGACGTCGTTTTGGCCATTTTGATGTTGTTTTGTACTCAAAACGACGTCGTTTTGGCCATTTGAGCCACATTTGAGCCACAGAATTTGGGCCCTCTACCATTGCTCTTTTTTTATTTGCTCCTGACACCAAATTGTACAAGTCTTGTAAAATTGTTAGTCTTGCATGAATTCCCTTTACACTAAACTGAAAATTAACAAAAATCAAACCGCAATTTTGAAAATGAGATTTTTGTTCCCTTTGGGGGTGTTTGGCTATTTTAGCCTCAAATGGAAAAATAGCCAAAAAGCCACACTTATCATTAATTTTCAAAAAAATAAAAAAAGTTAACTTTTGACCGGCTGTTGCAGCAGCGCAGCCTACACTGCCACCAACAGTGTAGGCTACAGGTTTGTTAAATTACAATATTACTCCTATATATCAATTTTGGAAAAAATAAAATCAAGGGTAAATTTGTCATTTCAATTTAAATATCATTTGAAATATATTTTTCAATACAACAATCAATTCAAAAATTTAACCAAACTTTCAAAACACACAAATTAAAATAACTTACTAAAAGAGTCAAAAAGTTAAAAAACTTACTAAAATAGTCACTTTCTAAAAGAGGCTAAAATTTGATGCCTTCAACTATAAGAACGAATATTTTTATTAAAAACAAAATAAAATTGAGACTGTATATAATATAATAAACTACGTGACCTAGTTATTAAGGATTGAGCTATCTCTGTAACAAGAAACCAACTTGGTTAAGTAAATGTCCTAATCAACAAAAGTGGATGATTGCCTTTAATTTAGAGTGAGAAAAGACAAAACCTAAGACCAATTATAGCAGTGGAATTATTATTCTGATTATAATGTATATGGTGCTAATCAACATCAATTACAAAAGTCACTTTGCCACTACAGTTGACAGAGTGACCCCTCCAATTTGCCAATGTGGTGTTTGGCAGGTGATTTTAGAACTAAAATAGTTATAAAAAATAAAATAAATTATTTTAGTTATAATAAATAAAACATTACATTCAATTTATAATTATTACATTCTTTTCTTATAAAAAAAGTTTAAAAAGTTAAAAAGTCAAAAAATCCTTTTTAAATTACGCTTTTTAGTCCAAATTAAAATAACTAAAAAAGCAAATCCACTTCTCAAACAGAGGCTAAAAATATTATCACGGTTGGTCAAGCACAAGAAGAAGATATTCTAAATTTTATTTTATTTTTATTATTTATTTTACTCAATCGAATAAACAATTTTAAAAATTAAAAAATTTAGGTAATTTTAAAAAAGGTCCGCTACAAATAAAATAAGTCAAAATTTTAATATGAAAAATTGCAAAAACTAGCCTCTTTTTTTTTATTTTTATTTTCTGGACTTTTTTCAAAAATAAATTCTTTTTTTTTTTATTTTTTTTATTTTTTTTCTTCTAATTTTAGAATCATCTATTTAACATATTAAAAAAATTCTCTAAAAATGAATAGTTCATAATCTATTTTTCATTAGTTTTTTGCTGGTCGAATGTATGAAACACTGATATTGCCATATTTTTTCTACTAAAATATCCACCAACTATATTAGTACCGGTCATTTTAACTTTTACTAAAAATGAAGTTAGTATAATTATGTAAAAAATGTGAAACTAATTATATTTTTTCATATCTTAAAAGAGGCGAGTGTAATTTATGCTATTTGTTCACTACAACAAAATGCATATTTGGCGACTAAATTTTTAGTTGCCAAAAATTTTGTCCGACTAAATATTTTGGTCGCTGGATTGGTCGTGGGAAGCTTGTCGGGGAAGGAATTGGCGACTAAATATTTTTTAGTTGCCAATAGTCCTATAAATGGTGACTAATATTTTTAGTCACCAAAAATAAAATTTTAGTTGCAAAAAATCTTATTTGTCGCTACTAAAACTTTGGTCGCCAAAACTTGAAGTATTTATGACAACCAAAGTTTTAGTCGCCCAAGGGTTTTTTCATCTTTTTATTTTTTTATTTTTTTCATTTTATTTTTTTTAGCTACTAAATTCTTAGTCGCCTAAAGTCTGTTTTTGTTTTAGCTGCTAAATATTTAGTAGCCAAAAGTTTTTCTCCATTTATTTTTATTTTTGGCTACTAAATATTTAGTAGCCAAAAGTTTTTTTCTATTTTATAAATAAAATTATCTATATACTGATAAAATTAGTAACCATTCCACAACATACACACATTTCACTTTCAACCATAGAAAAAAAAAATTCATATTAACATCAAATTAATATTCCCAAAAAAAATTCCATACAAATCAAGTATAATCCAATCTCAAAAATATAATTCCATACATAACAGAGGATTAAACAAAATTAACATCCAATTGTTAATTTGGCAAGAAACCAACTAACAAAAACACCAAAAACATAAAAAAGTAAAGGCCATAAAATAAAATAAAATAAAAATTAGTGATGAAGTCAGTTGCAGTCTAACTCTCAAAGCAATTACTGAAGCAAAGCTGAAAGCTGTATACATAAATTAATATAGATCAGTAACACAGATCACAAACAGTTGCTAACAAAAAATAGCACAAACAGATACGTAGTTTTTATCCATCATCAATTCATTGATCAACTTTTCTCATTTTATTCTCAAACCAAGTACAAAATAATTATATAGAGCAAAAATGAGAAGGCATACCAGAGTAATAATGTGACAACCCTCGCCACTGTTTACTGATAAGACCACTGATTAGTGCTAATCTATGATTAAGCATGTTAACTGACTGATTGACTGGAATCCTGAACTGATTGATTGAACGTATTAGTTTGAATGCATTTCTATCTGTTTGTCAGTGAACTATCTGTTCGTGTTTTATGTTTAAACTGCTAATTGAAGGCCTTATAGGCGGTCGAATCCGAAATTGCTTAATGTTTTATGCTCGTTAGAATTTATATAATTTTATGGTATATTTAATTGAAATATAATTGGGTATGATTAAATTAGATTTAATAATGGTAAATTACAAGAGTTGGCCTTAATCACCAAATTGCCATCTAGTGGATTTATCTAGGCAACCCCTCTCCACTTCATACATGTTGATACAACAATTCTTCAGCTCATTTCCTAGAGCAAAACTGACTAGAGAGAGAGGGAATTGGGAGAAAATAGAATTCATCAAAGATTGCTTGGAGAATTTGAAGGAGAATTGCCTATTGAGCTTCTACATCTTGAACTTAAGACATAAGGTAAAGAATTTCCCTTTTTGATCATGAAATTTAGTAGATTCTTGCATGGTACATGGTAATTGAGCGAGTTGAGTCAAGAATTGGATTAAATTATTGAATTGGAGCTTGATTCATGTATGCATGTGCATGTCTTGAAGTTTTGAGGTTGTTTTCATGGGAATTGCTTCATGCATGTCCATCTTTTGACCATAGCCCATGATTTCATCTTGTTTTTGAAAGAATTGGCTCTTAGGAGCATGAATTGGAAGCTTTGAAGTTGGTTAAATTCATGCATGTTGCATGTTCATCATGTTCTTGAATTATTGTTGAATTTGTGTTTAATTGAACTACCTTTGGGCTTTGATTTCTCAAATTGACATTTGAAACATGTAATATTATGGGTTTTGAAGTGTTTTCCAAAAAATTAGCCCAAGAGGATCGATTTTGGTGCATTAAAATTGAGTTTTGAGCTTGAGGTTCAAATCTGAAATTTCTAGATTTTGGACTTACGCTCGAGCGGGGGATTCCACGCTCGAGCGTACCTACTGAATTCATGCAGTCCGCTCGAGCGGGTAAAGTGACGCTCGAGCGTGAAATGCGTGTATCCAGTACTTTGCATGTTTTTACAGTCCGCTCGAGCGGGGGAATGCACGCTCGAGCGAGGACTTGTGTCTCACGCTCGAGCGAGGGTTGAGCGCCTGTCGAGCGTGAATTTCGTGCATCCAGTACTTTTGCCATGTTTTACAGTCCGCTCGAGCGGGAAAAATGACGCTCGAGCGGGGAACCTTTGTCTGCATGTCCGCTCGAGCGGGGAAAGCCATGCTCGAGCGTGAACCCTGTTTTCTGAAAATTCTGAAAAGTGTTTTAAAGTGCATCATTGCATCCTCATTCCATCCTAGACCTAGTTTAAGGCATCTTAATGAGGCTATTGATGTAGAACCACACCGAGTCAAGATAGGGATTAAGTTATTATTTCCCAACTGTGTAGCTTAGTGTGTGTTCACTCTGTAACTGTGTAGGGTTGGCATCCGAGGACGCATACTAGCTTATCTATAGCCCAGAACTCTGTGAGTAACAATGTTGTAAAGATATGTTCGATTGAGATTATTTTCTGAACAAATGACTGTACTACTTTATGAAATGACACTGTTCACTGAATGAATGTTTGTCCTATTTGTGAATTGTATTTGTGGCATCCATAGCAATTTACTGTTACTAAACTGTTACTGCTACTGTTACAGAGATCTCTGTTGGTTCCCATGTATGGAACCACTACTGTTTACTGATATGATGGCCATCATTGACTGCTCGGTCTGTTAAGACCTACTGTA